AAGAGCGATAAGAATTGTGCATAAGATGGGGTATAGGGATCACACCAATGGAGCTTTCATACAGTCTAAATTGTTAAACTTTTTTGATTTAGTTGGATATAAGACTGCAGTGTTTATGTATAAAGCCAGGAGCAATTTATTACCTGGTGGAATTCAAAAACTATTTAATGAAAGGGAAGGGGGATACAATTTAAGGGGTCAGTTAAATTTAAAAATTCATGCTATACGTACAACCAAAAAAAGATTTTGTATTTCCATAAGTGGGGTAAAACTATGGAATAATTTAAGTGTAGACATAAAAAATAGTAATAGAATTGATGAGTTTAAACATAAATATAAAGGTATGTGTCAATCAAGATATATGCAAGAACAGGTTTAATGATTAACCAGATGGAACATTGTGGGTGTGGTGTATGAATGTTAACACTTTGTAATAATTCTTTTGTATATTACTTTGTGTGTGTAGAAGTGAATCATTTACTGCTTGCAAACCAATGATGGTAAGATGATGTCATGGGGTAGGACTGGATAAGTCTGACTTCTTCCTACTCCATTCAAGCATGTACTAGGTATAAGCAAATTGATATTGGATTATGTGTAAAATTATGTGTGTTGTCATATCAACTGTTTTTACATGCTTGAAAGAATAAATCAAATCAAATCAAATCAAATCAAACTGCTATTTAGACTGGTGTAAAAAAGGCTTCTAGTAAGATGTGTTGCTAATTCCATGCAGTATGAAAATACCTGAAGATCTCCATAGCCTCTTTAGCAATCTTTACGAGTTTTACATGCCTTGTTTTGGCATACATTCTTCACCCTCAGCACTGGATCCGTGTGAGCCGACTGGCCTACCTGCTTAGATTTGTGCAATTAAAAGTGGTAAAGCTTTATGCAAATAGGGTAAAACTGTAAGATTGGATAAAGATAAGGCATAATATCCCAAGCAGCAAAACTGACTAGTCACAGGAACAAAAGAAAGTACAAGAGCACTTTTATGTTTAATGACCTTAAAGATCTATCGTAATTTCCGTACTATAAGCCACTACTTTTTTCACTTCATGCACACACCATCATCATGAAAAACACACAATGAAATGCATATGATGCAGCTTTCAAGTTAAAGGCGATCGATCTGGCTGTCGAAATATCTCATGTTACAACGTGGACACCTGCGGCTATGTACAAACAGTTTTTTCATTTTAAATGTAGTGGATGTGGCTTATAATCAGGTGCGCTTAATAGTCTGGAAATTGCGGTAGATACAGACAGGTGACAAATGAAAGGAAAACCCAAGATAAAGTGTCTCAGTGAGGTGCTGGGCCACCATGTACCTCTAGAACAGCTTCAGTGCACCTTGACATTGACTCTCCTAATCTCTGAACCCCATTCTTCCAACAGATGTGTCCTCATGTGGTGTTTTGATAATGGTGGTGGAGACACTGTCTAACACGTTGCTCCAAAATTTCCCATAGCTGTTCAACTGGGCTGAGACCTGGTGACTGTGAAAGCCCAAACATCTGATTCACATCATGTTCATCCTCATCAGACCATCCAGTGACCCCTTGTGTCCTATGGATGGGGGCACTGTCATCCTGATTTTCAGTGACTATTCCATCTAAGGGGACAAGTGGACCCAAACCATGCCAGCTAAATGCCCCCACAGCAACATCAAGAAGAAGGATTATGAGAAGCTGGAGAAGCACCAGGGCCTGAAAGAGGAACTGGAGAGGATATGGAAGGTGAATGCCAAAGTGGTAGGAACACACGGAGGTTGGGGTATAAGCTCCTTCTGTCTGTCCTTAAAAGACACATACACACAAATAATAACACAGACAATTTGGAGTGACTAACCAACCTAAGCTGCATGTCTTTGGACTATGGGAGGAAGCCAGAGTACCCAGAGAGAACCTTCGCAGGCACAGGGAGAACATACAACCTCCACACAGAAAGTTGCCTAAAGTTGACTGGGTCTCAAACCCAGAACCTTCTTGCTGTGATACAACAGTGCTAACCACAGTGCCACCCCCATCTGGATCTGGAAGTACCATAGGATCTTTGCCCTGTTATTCTCCACAACCTTCTGAGGGTCCAGCACAGATGTTTCTAAACACAATCCCAGCCACTTTGTTGTGCTGTTCCTGCCTGCATTTTACCTCCTGCCACTATGTGTTGGACTCTCTCTGAGGCCCCGTTGCACAGTCTGCACCTGGGCTCCTGTCTGGTATGGTAGACCCCTGCTTAGTGCCTGTTCTTGTGCTGCTAAGATCAGACCTCAGTGCTGTCCAATGGCCGGCCTTTTCCAGCCACTGGTAGGATTTTCTAATGTCAATCACCTCAGCTATCTGCTGGTGATACATCCCATGGAGGGCCTTGTCCTGACATGGCATTATATATAATTTTTGTCTACACTATAATAATATACTAGCTTATTACATTCTAGAAGTAATACAGTGCGTATCAGGAAATTATCTGAAAGGAATAAATATTTGAAACTCTTTTTAAACATTTGGAAAGTCCAACATAAAACTGAGACTTAAGCAACTTGTTGATACTACAAAGAATCTTGAAGGATATTGAATTATGGAAGACCAGTGATCATGTGGTTAGAATTTTCGAGAATAGGCTACAGGTGAAGTTAGGCAAATTCACTAGTTATAATAATATTTTTATGATCAGTTAATGTGTGTTTTACCACCGTACACAACATGTAAACCATACCACTGCACTCTGGTTTGATGAAAGAGAGGGGAAGACGGAATTTAAGCCAAAACCAGAAGTTTTTCCTCTCTCTCTCTCTCTCTCTCTCTCTTTCTGCGCTTGTTTGTAACCATGCGTCACAAGCACGTGATCCCGTGGACGCATTTCAGAGCGCTGTCCAATCAGAAAACGGGGGTGTGTGATGTGGGCGTGGCCTGGTTATGTCGCTGTGAAAATGTGGGTAGACGAGCTTTGGCTTAAGAACAAGTGACCACTCCATATTTAATAATAACCAGGAAGCTGATGGAAGGTTATGGAAGCGGTGACGAAACAGAAGCTAAATAGTGGAGCCGGAGTGTTGCGCAACAGGCGCAGTCGGTAAGTTATCTCCACTTCCAGTACAAACTGTTCATTTCCATCCACTTTCTAATGCTCTGCTAACTCATGTACCACCATCTATATGGACTTAGATTCTAGTGCCTCTCTAGGCGGTAGGTTGCCTTAATAACCGATAACAACGTGCTCTTTTTAAACTCTGTATAATGTTTAATGACGTTACACTGTATATGCCTTTTTTGTCAAATGCAGAACTTTGAAAACTGGTCAAGTGACATTTCTTATTAAAGGCTAATAAAAATTACGCATGCCCGTGATTTGATTATCACGGTGTAGCACGCAGTTTTCATCGTTACCCGGAAATAAGCAAGGTGTTTGTTCACTGTCGTTTCCTGTCTGTGCGGATTTGTGGCTGATTTTCTGCGGAGCCAGTGAGAGGGCAGAGGAGCAGGGTGGGATGGAGAGGTGTGCTGGATGCGCTGCTGCGGGAGGATGTTGCGCACTTCAATTTACCTCCGGAGTGAGTGGTCTGCGCATCCATGGGTAGGCTACTGCGTAATGATTTCATTTATGAGGTAGATGTTTTTGGTCTGTGAAGATGTAAATATATTTGATTCAATGTGTGATATCCCGTAATGTCAAAATTACAAGCAGCAGGACGCAAAGTTTGATTTAAACTCAATGAGGAGGGGATACTTTAATTTAATGTAGTGTTGGAAAAAAGAATCATAAGCAAAACTATATTTTTGCTATGTTTCAGGGATTGTATTTTATATTATGTATTGTATTTTATAGGCTACAGACTTTAAATGTTGTTACTATTGTGCCTGTCATAGTGTGCCATGCCTATTATATAGTGCCATTTCCAGCTGAATACACCGTATTTAAACTTTAAGGTGTAAAGACTTGTTTAAAAACAAACAAACAAAAAGATCTATAACTTCATTCAGGGGTATTTTATTGTGTAAAGAGCTTAAGTTAAAATTATGTGATTTTGTTTTTCCAATTGTTCATTTGCAGAAATAGTGAGATAGAATTAATTCTTTCTAAAGGCAATTTTTTTTGTTCGTAAACCTGTGCCTTGACTCTGCTCCATCCATCCAGAGGTTTCTCTGACATACGCACTTTTTATTCCTGATGTAAACAAACCCCCCAAAAGCAATACTCTTATTTAACACAGGATGGCGTTTTTGTGCAGGATTGCTGTGCAGATCATCTTTTTCATCAAAATATTAGAAATCAGCATTCTTGGAATGAGTGAGATATTGTATGGCAGAATATTGATGCAATAATAGAGAGTTAAGATAAAATAGCAGCTTGCATATCCAAATGTGAGCTGGTGCATGTATGTTGTCATTTTGTGTTTACTTATTTTGTTGACAGAAGATCTGACACAAGCATCTGCTGAGATTTGGGAAAATGGCCTGATATCCCAGAATCCCAAACTGACTGCGATCGGCTAACCTATTGATTGCTGACTGCTTGAGAGGTGAAGTAAGGGAAAATGTTCAATGTTGTCCTTGAATTCATTTCATAAGGAAATGAATATATTAGAGAAGCCAACAAAACAACACAGTGCAGATTAGATATTTAAATAGCATGCCTCGCAGATTATGAATATTGCTGTTCTCTTTTCAATCAGGGAAATTAGTGTTTGCTTTCAACTTTCTGTGAAAGGTAAGAGCCAGTACACTTCACAAGAAACACAGCCAGGTACCGCAGGGCAAGTAGCACAACAGTGCACTGCTGTTTATATCAATTACTGTCAAAAAGTCTGATCTGAATAACCCTCGGCCAGGTGCACATTTGCAGGATTTAAGTGCAGAGTGTAGCCAGTGGTCACAGAACCAAAATTATTAAAGTCTACAAGTGCACAGCATCAGCGCCTCGTTAGGTGATGCCAGAAACTGCTGAGCTGAGTGCAAATGTCTGAATTCACGGCGTATACGTTTGTCATGAACTAATGCCTGGAATGTTCTCAGGGCCTGCTGAAAGTAGAGCTCTGCAGGACAGAGCGTGATGCTGGAACACATGCTGACAATGCCAGCGAGAGCCTGATTGCATTCTTCTGAGTGCTAACTGCTGATCAGGTAACAACAGAAAACAATTAAACAGTTTATTTTCAATAACACACTGCTAAAACATAATGCCTTATGTGCCTAAATGGATGTGTGAGTACATTTAGGGTTTATGCCCACTGTTTCTTGTATATCTAAAAAACAATATGAATGGAGCTGACTGGGCACTTTTCCAAGGGAGAGATTAAGGTTTAGGGAGTGGAACAGGCATGGCTGATAGATGGCATGGCTAAATTTAACACAGTGTTCACTGGATGAGGAGCATACGTAAATAGCAGACAGGAAGGAGCAGCAGCAGTTGGATGTACCTTTAAAGCTGTAGCGTGCCTTTGGCAGCACAAACACAAACCACTGGCACAGTAAAACTTCCCGTTCTTGTTGGAGGCTACAGGCTGCAGTGTGCTGTAGAATACCCCAGTATCAACCATGGTGAAAGACCTGCAATGATTTGGTGCAGTTATAGTAGAACCGGCATATGACAACACCGAGTACAGACACACATTAAATGCATCAGTTATATAATAGACCATGCAGTGGTGGAAGAAGAAGAACTCAGACCCTTCACTTAAGTAGAAGAAGCAATACAACAGTGTAAAAATATTCTGTTACAAGTAAAAGTCCTGCATTCAAAATGTTACTTGTGTACAAAAGTATCAACACCAAAACATGCTTCAAGTAGTAAAAGTACTCATTGTGCAGAATGACACACTTCACATTCCTGTATCATATTATATTATATTTAGTGATGATTTGTTGTGTACATTACATTTAATGTTGCAGCTGGTGAAGGGGGAGCTAGTTTTAACCACCTAATATGCATTTAATTTGAATTCCTGCTTGGTAGCTTGTGAATTGTCCCCCATAGATCAATGAGGTCATATAATCCTACTGTATGTTGTATTAATCTGGTTCTGAAAAGCAACTAAAGTTCTAAAGTAAATGGAGTGAAATAAGAAGTACATCCAGTAATTTTAGGAAATCTTGCACCGCTGTTAACTTGCATTCATATTCCTCAGTTATCTTGTATCAGATGCACATATAGAGTGAGGATGTCTTTATTCTAGAAGAGCAGAGAGACCTCAATCCTCAGATCAATACTTTCAGCATCTCCCTGTCTGCTCACAACAAACATGCTTTGATCCCTCAGATCCCTTACATTTCACATGCAGCTCGAGGGTGAAAGCTGATTCTTTTACCGGTGCTCTCCTTTCTCAGTCCTGTAAGGTGAAGCTGTGGGCTCCGTATCCTCTGTCACCAGTGGGGAGTTACGCCACCACCAGCTACAAGTGCTTTAGGAAAAACATTTAACGGCACATGAAATGCTGGATGAAAATCTAGACTTGTGACTGTAGGATAATGGAAAACAGAGGGACGGACTGTGCTTCAGCAGCTCATTCAAACCTTTCAGATATCCAGTGTAATATTACAAGGTTGAAGCAATCAGCGAGGCTGCACTGCAGAAGAGAGAATGTTCTCAAAATGGAGCTGACTGCAGTTTAACACTTGAGTTCAAGCCAACAGTTGTGACTTTCAGAATAAATATTATCCCAAAGCTTTCATTTCTCTTTAGTATATAAAGAGGACAGACCTAATGGGCACGGCCTCGCCGAGAACAGATGAGCTCAAAAAAGAGACAGAACCAGGCTTGTTCCTCTTATTGCCCTGCTGGACGTTGTTTGCAACATTGTGGTGGCTACGCTAATTGGCTAATTTGACATATTTAAGGCCTACAATCGTAGCAGACTGCATTGTTATTTTTCACTGCAGTGGCCTTTCCCCAAACTAATTATAGGTCTAGATAGGAAAAAACATTCATATTGTATCTTGATTTGTATGTAACAGGTCCCAGTGTAACGTCATCCCTCTTTTGCATATAACCAAGTAACTAGGTGCCGTGCTCGTCTTCTTCACTTTGTCACATGATGCTTTTATCCTGAAGCAGAGGAGAATAGCAGCTGTAGCTTCACACTTCAACCGAAGGTGTCTTGTCTAATGGAGTTTTCCCCGTTAGTCTTGACCCGTTTGTCTTTTTGTTTTTTTTGTTTTTTTGATAATACTTGGCAATAACGTTTTATGCTTCAGTAGTTAAAAAATACACTGTTGATTAAGGGCAATACTTTTTAGTGTTGCACTCTAAAAAGTGTTATTCTCCTTTTATCTTCCTGCAGCTCTATTGCGTCATTTACGTTAGAAATGAAGAATCATCTGATCCAGGTATGTCCAATAAACTACAGACCCAAATTCTTAAAATAAACTCTGCTAATGTTTGACTGGACCACAACAGACTATTTATAAGGCAGTAACACAGTCCTTGTAGCGTAATGTAATACAATACACTTACATAAACATTATACCATATTAATTTGCAATACAAGATTCATGAATAGTTTAACTGGATAGCAGGATTACTGTGAATAGATACAGAGGATGAAACGGTTTTCTGCTTCCTTTAGGGCAGATCTGTCGTGGGAAACATGTAGAACTGAAAAAGGAAGTAGACGTGCTAGGTCCATCCACGGTGTCAGAGTGGGGATGAAAAGGTCAGTTACCTCACACTGTATGTTCTTTTTAATGTTTGCTCTTCTCTGGTGGTAAAAAGTAGTAATACTGAATGAGGAACAGCATGCACTCAACATCAGAAGGCACTGTATGAACCCACATAAGGGTACTACAGAAGAAATTCACAACACATTAAAGACGAGCATCATGAGATAAGTGGAATCCCTTATTTGACAGTATTTAACAAAGGTAAAAGACCGTCTTAGTGATTATGCAACTGATACATAAGTTGGCGATGTGCCTTTAAAACCAGTGGGTTGTCAGGTGATCGAGGAGGCTCAGTCAGCTCAGCCTCACAGACAGAGCAGCCAGAGTGCGTCTCTAGCACAGTGCAGAGACAACAGTGCCAGAGAGGGAGAGAGACCCAATTATAAGGGGACATGGGGGGAAATGGGGACACAGCAACGTCACAGAAAGGGGGACAGGGATCTTTAGTGGTAGGGTCCCTTTAACTGCAGTCTGCTCATGCTCACTTGCCTTGTGTGGCAGCTAGCAAGTGTGTTTCTGGCTCAGCTTGATCAAGAAGCGCGTTGTGTAGCCACAACAGTGGTATAAAAGCACAGAGAATTAAGTGCTGCGTCACACTCAGGAAGAGGAATAGTGTGACCATGCGTGCGTGTGCACAGCTATGTGTGCATGCGCACGTACATATGCATTTGTGTAGGGACTGTTCTGTTTCTGTGTATGTGTCAGTTCGAAGTAGCAGGTAATGACAGATCTGTTGTAACAAGATGAAAATAAAGAGTGCGTGTGTTTGAGAGGCAAGCAAAACAGGGAGAGAGAGGGAGATACAGAGAGGGCGAGGGAGGGAGAGCAAGTCAGAGTGAGAGAGAGATTTTGGATTAGTTGCTACGTCACTTTTTTCATGTCGGGAGAAACAGAAGCTGAGATAACAGAAGCCCAGAGTCATCGAGTTTTCCACCTGAAGTGGACACAGCGATTTCGGACAATCTGGGCTCTCTCCTCCTCTTCCTCTTCCTCCTTGGTAGTTTTGATCTGCTCTGCCTGTCGCTTTTATGTGTGTGTGTGTGTGTGTGTGTGTGTGTGTGCTGTGTAGTTCCTGTGAGCTATGGTGTCGGGAGTTTCAACATGGATGCTGAAGATGTTACACAGTTTCTCTAGGTCCTGTTATGACAGCATGCTAAGATGTGTATGTGTGTATTTGTCGGGCAGAGGTGCGACAAAGGGGTTAACAAAAGAATATTCTGGAAGGTTCTTAATATCACAACGAAGCTCAGTCAGGAATGTTTTGCTGAGAATTATCCAGGTATTCGAACGTCGTTTTTTTTTATTTTTTGCCACCGTCACCTGAAGGAATACAGATGATTACACTGGCGCAGATACTGTAGGTGAATACGGTCATGCACGGTGCCGAATGAAACACGTTTAATACACCATTATATGGGAGTGTGTAGAGATGCAGCCAGGTGGGCAGTACAGCAGCCATAGCAAATGAAATAGTACGAGAAGTTCATCGTTGAATTTAGCGAAAAGGCTGATGTTGTATCCGTAGCTAGGTGTGTGTGTGTGTGTGTGTGTGTGTATGTGTGTGTGTGTGTGTGTGTGTGTGTGTGTGTGTACATGCATGTATCTGTATTAGAACTGTTGACTGCTGGCCTACTTGTTGTGGTTAACCCTTGATGGAATTGAAAGGAAAAAAAAAGAGTGTGGGGTGGAAGAGGCCACCATGTATGAAAGCTGGGATCCAGCTGTATGTTGTTATCAGACAACAGATCTGTGTCGGTGTCTGTGGCTAGTGGCACGCTTGTCACGTGATTTGTTTTCACCCTCCAGGGCCACAGGGATTTGCCAAACCCTTCCCAAGGCACATTTGTTTCTGCGTAGTTAGGAGAGACAGAGATGGTGACGCAGTCCTTTCTGGGCTGGACTTTGCTTCCACCAGTACACAGCTTGGATCTCTCTCTCTCTTTCTCCCTCTTTCTCTCTCTCTCTCCTGGGGAAAGGGAGCAATGGAGGGGACTAAATGTCATGGTTCAGGATCAGAGACAGAGAAAGAGAAGAGGAGGAGAGAGAGAAAGAAAGGGAGAAGAGGAGAGAGTTGTTTACCTAGCTCTCTGGGTGACTCTGCGTTGGCTTCTCTCCAGTTCACATGCACTGGACTTCCTAAAGCTGCTGCATCACAGGCCATCGTGCCAAAGCTGGATTCTCATTGGATGGGAGGAGCTCCCCTGGTTCCAAAGCAGGGCTATATTGGCTTAGTGCAAGCAAGCAGCTGGAGCTGAACATCTGATTGGTTAAGAAGCGCTTTCCTCTTACACAGAGGTTTTCCTTGGATACATGAACACGTTGTATGTTGATATATTGTTAAAAGGTACCAGAAGATTTTGGAAAAGTAGTAATATTTGTTTCCAGTGTGAGTTTAAAGGGTAGTTATGTCATGAAAACCAGTCTTTTCATAGAAAATGTTGCTGCATGTGTTTCCTGTGTGGATATCTTTACAGGTGGACAGTGGCATTTATCAGGCGATTATGATTCATTCATCTGTACTTGCCTCTTACGATACAGTAAGCAATCCTCAGGCCTTGCTAATGCAGTGATTTACATGCGTGGATGTTTCCTGGAAAGGGAAACATTCCTTCAATTAAGCTGGTCGTGTTCCGTTTATAAGGACGTGCTGATTTCCAGAAGAATTTTCTGGAAAGATCTGCTACAGTCTTCAGGAAGAGGTCTATGCAGAGAAGCGTAAATATTTATTTGGTTGCAAATTGTATTCTCCATATGCTTGCCCTTAGACAAATTTTACATTTTAGCATGTGACATGCTGTGCACTGACCAAGAGTGTCTAGGCTGCACTAGATGCACTGATAGAACACTATATTTTTCCAAAATTTAATCCCAGATTATAGTCCTGTCTGAGAACCTTCCCGCAAATTTACAGTGATGTACATATCTGTTATCTTCAAGGAAATTACAGGAAATTATGGGACCCAGAAAATAACCAAGGCCTTCCAGTTTACTGTGCTTTGTACCGTCAGCTGCTCAGCATCTTCTGCATAGTGTGACGGCCTGAATCTCTCCGAGACCTTTGTTTTTGTGTTGAGAGTGACATGAAGGGCTCAGATCCTTAGATGAGAAAGAAGTCTTCTTGTTTTCCTGGCTGGAAGTCCAACATCCAAAACGCCACATTTCTGAGATGATGCAAGAGCATGTGTGGCTGCCCATGGTCTGCATTGCAGCTCCTGCTTCTACAGTCAGCGCCTCTCTCTCTCTCTCTCGTAAATGTGCTGATGGTATGACAAACTGTATACTAAGGCTGTGTATTTATTTTGTCTTTTGTAAAGAAAAAGATGATTTGTATCATCAGTGCTGAAGCTGGTACTCTCCCAGTCGTCTCAGCACTCTGAGGGGGGTCATTCGTTGTGAATGAGTTAACACTACGGTTCGTCTACTAGCCTGTGTAGGCTACACTGCAACACGAGGCGTAATCGTGACGCACATTCAGAGACAGCAGTACACTATTCCATCTTCCCTCCAGACAGCTGATTCATTATTTGAGGTTTTTTTTTTTTTTAAACAAAAAGCTGTAGTGGAAGTCAGTAGTACAACAGTTAGCTCTCAGATCTCTTATCATGCATGTTTCACTGCTGTTTATTCACTCAGCAGTTCAACATTGGTATTCAATTCCTATTTCTCTAAAGATTTTCAGCCTTCCAGTCTCCCCCGTGTGCTTCACAGTTCCATCCTGACTGTGTTGCTGACTGCTCTCTGAAGGCCTCCTGTCCCTTTAAATCTTTTATAAGCGTTACACAACAGGTCCAGTGGCACACAAGCAACAAACAACCCGAAAAAGAAAACTGATGGGGTTAGGCTGAGCCAGCTAAGCAAAGGAACCAGACACCTACGGACAGACGGGCCCTGTGATCAGCGCTGTCGCTGTGGCTACCATGCAAACACACAAACACACATACGTAGGCTTACACACAAACAGCCCCGATGGGGGAAAAATGACTTGGCTTGGTCTGACAGGGACTTGTAAGGGCTGAGGGGATTTGGTCCTTCTTCTTATTATGAAAATCAAAGTATCTGATGTTTAGAGGATGGGCGAGGCTTCCCTGATTTGACTTTAATCGGTTTCAAGACAAGTATTTGTGGGGGTTGTCATTGTAAACATGAAGAGATGAAGGCAGACTGTGTGTGGGTGTGTGTTCTGGAAGGGACAGGGGAGTTTGAAGCAAGACAGAGTTGTCGCTGGTTCTTTCACCTGCAAGCAAAGAGTGAAAACGGTAGGATGGGAAAAAATGGATATTGAAGCACTTCACAACAAGTCAGTGAACTGGCCACTACCTGTGCATGCCCCGCCCTCTCAGTGTATTGTAGCTGCCTGTCTGCGTCACTGACTGCCACTTCCTTGCTCTTCCCTTGTAGAGGCTGGAGACCAACGCAGTATCATCCTCACTATTCTACTGAACAACAGAAAGGAGAGGACTCGGTGAGGCCTGTCTGCATAGAGCTGCAGGTGAGCCTGTTTGTTGAGGACCCATGTTGGCAGCGTTTTGTGTGTCTGTTCTTGTTTGGCCCTTCACACATCTGCAAAGCTTGGATCAAGTATCAGATCAGTCATGTGGGCGTGTTGGAGAGAAATAGGGAGAGGGAGAGAGGAAGAGAGAGAGGTTTTCTGGCGCTTTCTCGGTGGTTTTCCATTTCATCTCTTTCTCACTCTCCCTTCACCTGCTCCCTTCTGATCTGCTTTCTGCCCTGAACCAGGACAGTGAACAAAACCTCTTCCTGGACACGAGCCTGAGAGCCTTAAAGGATAAGGCTGGTGATTTTCTGTTTTAATTAGTGTCAAAAACCCTAATGAAAAAACTACATTAAATGTTTATCCTACAAACAATTACATTCTGTGTATCCAGAATCTCATTTAGCTTGTTTTTATGTGCCATAGAGCTCCATTGTTGTCCAAAAACAATTTTAAAAAAAAATCAGTGAGCCACACTGTTACACTGACATGTTTAAATATGGTTTACTTAGAAGCAGCTCTGTACGTAATAATGGCGATCTCTTTCACTGTCTGTGGAGAATAGTTCCTGTCAGGCAGAGGCCTGAGCACGCTCAGTTTGCATTGGCTTTTTACCTTTTTCAACCTGTGCACATTAGAAAATGAAGTGCTCTGCAGGTGGTTGTAGGAATGTCCTGACTACACAATTACCCACTTATTAACCACAGATCCTGTGTTATGCTGTCAGTAAATTTTGTCCACTCTACAAACAAGACCTCAGCTGGTGTCGTGGTCGGCATTGCTGAGTTCTACGGCTGCACTGCTGGGTTCCCAAAGTTCTGTCTGTGGTGTTCTGTGCCTCGCTGTCAGTCTGTTGACCTCAGTCTTGCCCTTTCAGCATGCCTGACAGGAACTACTCTCCAGTGCCCATATTTCATAATGCAGGAACACATCAACCAGTACAACGGTGTGGTTCACTGATGTTTTGTAATAGTGTTTGGACAACAATGGAGCTCTATGGAGGAATAAACTAAATCATGTTTTGCATCCACACACAATTCTTGGACACATTCATAGTTGTTTTGGCCTTTTAATTTGTTGACAGTAAGATAAATATAGAAACTCATCAGCCTTATCCTTTAACATAAATTACATCTGATGGCCCCTGCAGTCTGCAAGATGCTGTCAGGTTTCCCTGGACCTTCCTCTGGGTCCATTTAAAAACAAGGTAGGGATATAAAGGAGAGCCATAAATTAAAGCCTTCTGTGCATATTACTGATTAATTTGTCTCAGTGTAGTGGAGACCAATGAGGCTTTGCTAAAGCTGCAATCAGCAAGAACTCAAAATCTAACTAGCGCTACCATGAGAATCAATCTCCTCCGCTCCAACCAGCCCTTCCTCTCCCAGCTTGCTCCAGTGTGCTCTGCTGCATCCAGCCCAGAGTCACAGTTATGAGTCAAATTCACCCAGTTAGTGGACACTACAAAATTCATCTGGTGGGGATTAAAACAACGTAACTCACCGAGCTGACCGCCCCGCCTCTTCTTTACTGTAAAACAGATCAAATATGTAGTAACGTCCACTACACGATAGGCGGACACGACACACTTACAGCCAGCACAATTTGTGAACATTGACAGAGAACTAAGAGTGGGTCCTGCACATCCACAGAAAGGTTTTGTGAAGTTGTTTTGCACAGTGGTGTCACAAAAACATTTTGCCACTCGAGTTTTTCTGTCATATATAGGACGCATGCTGTTCACACACGTTTGAAATTGAATAAAACACACTGTCGAGTTTAGTTGCATCTGAAGGCACAGCAAAGAAATATGACTGCAGCTTGTGTATGAACTTTCCTGGATGTATTATAAGTGAAAGTAGCAACACAGTGTTGTCCTTAGCTTAGCCAGCTGCTGTTAAGAGTCACACTGGGAGCACAAGTGACATGTTCTGGCATGAGTTGGCTACAAGCACAAAGGGTAATGGTTTAAATCCTTATCCTACTACTGTTAATAATAAATTCACAACATAGCAGTCAAGCAGAAAAAAAGCCAAATCAGCGCCCGTTTGTAAATCCCTCTGCTCAGCCAACTCTCTCCATCTCCGACTTTATGATGTAAATCCGGTGACGGTTTATTTTCTTCCTTCTCTTCAAAATTCTCAGTTCTTGTCCTTCTTCTCATGTCTCTGCTAACACTGAAATCAAGAGCTTGCCAGCCTGCGACCATGTTGATGGAGCCAAAGCACATTCACATACTTATTGACAGCCATGAGCTCTGACCCTTGACAGTGGCCTTCTCTGACTGGTTAGTCTTATCCCAGTCAACAACCTTTAGAAGGGAACATCTCTGCGCTGCTGCCAGGCTGTTTGATGGGTCTGGATCATAAGAGCCTTTGACAGTAACTCTCCCCATTAAGGTAAGTTCTGGGGGTGGTTTCTACTAAAGATTATTTGATCCATTTACAGATGGTAGGGCCTCCAGATGAACCGCCACGTCATATGACAATGCAGCTAATAGCTTCTATCCCCTCAGAGTCCTCTCACAGATCTTACTTAAGTCAACATTTCCATGTGAAGAAGGAACCAGTGCAACATTCTGTTGATATATTTATGTCATATTATTATGGGTGTTTGGCTGATGCATAATTAACGCCTGCAAACAGAGCATGCAATGACTGGTTTCTGCATTTCATACATTTACTTACATTTATCTGTTCTATAGGAGATGTCTGTTTTTGGATGCTTCTGAGATTCACTCCCTCCTTTTTACTACTTCTGATCAGTGGTGAAGTACCTGATGAGAAATAATGCCTAACTGTTAATGCTTAGTAATATTCAGTTAATTGTTGACCAGCACTTGGAATTCATCTTAAAATGTGGATGTAGCTTTAGAACAAATGCTGTGTTGGCCTAGACTGTGAGCATCCCAAGATGCTGCAGTCTCTGCCCCCAAGGTCCAAAACACATTCCATAACACCATCCTAAAAATATCTATTCTAAAAATCAGATAGGCCTGTGTGATGCACTTACATTTCAGGCTACTGTCATATCAGTAACTCACTCGACATTATTTTCATAGGCTCTTGGTTGCCGGTGTCAAGCTTCACATGTATCTGCAGCATATGAACCAATCTTTTGCTCTTTCAGATCTTTTCAGTTCTGTTACGCCAACTAAAATATTTCTCAAATCCACCACAGGGAGTCCTAACTCGTACCACATCCATTGTAATAGAGGATTCTTGTTGTAATCTAGAGAAGTGCTAATTTTACAAATCATTTCCCACTGTTTTCAAGTTTCAGGGGTGTTCTATGCCAAAGAAAGAAGTGCCCCCCTTGGAAGCTGGTTTCAGATGGTGGCATAGAGTATCGTCACCTGTCTAGCACCATTTGAAATCAGTGTTCTTGGGGCGGGAAGTGTGTTTCACTGACGGGCAACAGGCAAGATGTGTCCAGCGATCGAGGGGAAAGAAATATGACGTCAGCTGCGTAGTATCGATCCCTGAAGCACTACTCAATGGACCACAAACCACCAGTCTGCAGTGATGGTTTGACTGCTCAAGCTTTTTGTCCTCTCTCCAAGGTTGACCGATTTCTTTTGGTGTTCAGAGTCTGCTTTTGTTTCTAGCACCATTTGAAATCGGTTACAGTGAAGGACAGATCTCATCTTACGCTGAGGAGGATTTTTCAGCCAAGCTGCCTGTGCTCTTTATTTTACTGACTATGATTGTGATGAAATGTGGTCACATTGACATTTTAAAGAAACACCAATATTACTGTCACAGTAAAATGTTCAGGATCTCCATTGATCCGGGATCTAGACTGATGTTTGCTGTAGAGGAAGAAGTATTTGGGATTAAGCATTCCACTGTTTTAGGAATGCTCCTAAGCTCTCACCTTCTTCAGATAATGAAGTTAAATTCCCAACTTCAGTTTTTCATTCCATCTTCCATAATTATTCAGCATTGCATCTCAGCCTTCAGCATTTTCAGGGCAATTCTTCAGCAATCGGCATCCACAGGCATTGTCTTCAGGAAAAGCATTTGTCTAGTTGTGTGGATGCTGTCTCTCTCTCTCCCCCTCCCCTTTTCCCTCTCTATCACCCCCAATCTCCCCCACCCCACCCCGCCCACACACACGTTCACACCTACTTGTTTTACCTAGTTTGTGGGGTCCTATTGGACTATTTTCTCATCTTTAATAAGTTCAGCATACTTTCAGCTAGCAAAGCCATTCAGGTATCAAAATGTTCAGCTCTTCAAGGACAGTCATTTCTAAACTTCATACTTTTGAAATATTTAGCTTTATTTTGACAATCTTGCCCCATTCAAATTAATGGGAAAATTGTACTTCAGCATACTTTCAGGTAAATATCCCTTTCACGTGTCAAAATGTTCAGCATTTTCAGGGCAATCTTTCAGCACACAGCATCCACACGCATTTTCGACAGGAAATGCATTTTTCTAGTTGTGTCTGACATTCCACCACTGGATGGCCAATGTGAACAATTGTCCAGTCTATCACAAGGGGGCACTGTAATACAAACTATATCAGAGGAGCTGTTTTTGGTTAGTCTCTGCCAACAGTTGTCTTTTTAGACAACTACTGTATAGTGTTTCAGTTTTAATCGTGATCATTAAAAGATAATTTTTTAATTTGCTGAAAATATCTGTGATTTCTGGGACCTTTGGTTAGGAAAACTAATTAAGTCCACAGGCTTTACAGCTAATGTTTATTATATTATTCCATTATCATTATCCCATATTAAAACTGTTAACCAGAGGATATTACTGCCATTTGAAAATGGGACAATAAGTGATTTCTCTTTCTGCTCATTTCTATACTATGGAAACAGTGAATATGGAAATAAGTGTGCAGCTTCCACAGATATATTGAATATTAAGAACACAACCACTTGTCTGGTTTGTAATCCATTATACACTGCAGTGGACACTGTACATGGATTAACCGAAGAGGGGATCACAGTTACATGTATTTCAATGAGTTTTCTTAATTCTTAAAGCTATACAATCTTTCCAATAGTTCTCATCTCTCGTCAATGAGTGTCTTGCTCCAGTAGCCCACTTCTTCAGGTCACCCTGGTTCCTCAACACCTGACGCAGGACCTTGTTGAAGCAGGTGATGTACCAGCCGGTGTTTGCATTTCCAACTCGCATTACCAATGAAGTAGGCAGATAGCACACTGCGCTGTGACCGTGGATTGAACCCTCAAACCTTCCAGACCAAAGTCAGCGGTGTCAACCACTGAGCTAGCCCATCACTAAGCTATGGAAGGTGAAGGCACAAGTGGTCCTGGTGGTAATAGGAACACTGGGGGCTGTGACCCCCAGACACAATCATGAAGTGGAACGAAATTTATTGGATATTTCAAACTTTTTTAACAAATAAAAAACTGAAAAATTGGGCGTGCAAAATTATTCAGCCCCCTTAAGTTAATACTTTGTAGCGCCACCTTTTGCTGCGATTACAGCTGTAAGTCGCTTGGGGTATGTCTCTAACAGTTTTGCACATCAAGAGACTGAAATTTTTGCCCATTCCGCCTTGCAAAACAGCTCGAGCTCAGTGAGATTGGATGGAGAGCGTTTGTGAACAGCAGTTTTCAGTTCTTCCCACAGATTCTCGATTGGATTCAGGTCTGGACTTTGACTTGGCCATTCTAACACCTGGATATGTTTATTTGTGAACCATTCCATTGTAGATTTTGCTTTATGTTTTGGATCATTGTCTTCTTGGAAGACAAATCTCCGTCCCAGTCTCAGGTCTTTTGCAGACTCCATCAGGTTTCCTTCCAGAATGGTCCTGTATTAGGCTCCATCCATCTTCCCATCAATTCTAACCATCTTCCCTGTCCCTGCTGAAGAAAAGCAGGCCCAAACCACGATGCTGCCACCACCATGTTTGACAGGGGGGATGGTGTGTTCAGGGTGATGAACTGTGTTGCTTTTACGCCAAACATAACATTTTGCATTGTTGCCAAAAAGTTCGATTTTGGTTTCATCTGACCAGAGCACCTTCTTCCACATGTTTGGTGTGTCTCCCAGGTGGCTTGTGGCAAACTTTAAACGACACTTTTTATGGATATCTTTAAGAAATGGCTTTCTTCTTGCCACTCTTCCATAAAGGCCAGATTTGTGCAGTATACGACTGACTGTTGTCCTATGGACAGAGTCTCCCACCTCAGCTGTAGATCTCTGCAGTTCATCCAGAGTGATCATGGGCCTCTTGCCTGCATCTCTGATCAGTCTTCTCCTTGTATGAACTGAAAGTTTAGAGGGACGGCCAGGTCTTGGTAGATTTGCAGTGGTCTGATACTCCTTCCATTTCAATATTATCGCTTGCACAGTGCTCCTTGGGATGTTTAAAGCTTGGGAAATCTTTTTGTATCCAAATCCGGCTTTAAACTTCTCCACAACAGTATCTCGGACCTGCCTGGTGTGTTCCTTGTTCTTCATGATGCTCTCTGCGCTTTAAACGGACCTCTGAGACTATCACAGTGCAGGTGCATTTATACGGAGACTTGATTACACACAGGTGGATTCTATTTATCATCATTAGTCATTTAGGTCAACATTGGATCATTCAGAGATCCTCACTGAACTTCTGGAGAGAGTTTGCTGCACTGAAAGTAAAGGGGCTGAATAATTTTGCACGCCCAATTATTCAGTTTTTTATTTGTTAAAAAAGTTTGAAATATCCAATAAATTTCGTTCCACTTCATGATTGTGTCCCACTTGTTGTTGATTCTTCACAAAAAATTACAGTTTTATATCTTTATGTTTGAAGCCTGAAATGTGGCAAAAGGTCGCAAAGTTCAAGGGGGCCGAATACTTTCGCAAGGCACTGTATAAAGCACTTGAACACAGCCGAGGCCAACAAAGTGCTTAACATAAGATACAATTCAAAACATCTAAAAACGTGACAACTACAATATTAAAATACCAATAAAATAACATAAAAGAACCAACATAGCAAAATAACAAAATACTATCAACCAAAACTCAGCCCAAACAGAGTCTCATAGCATATCAAACGCCAAAGCATACAAGTGAGTCTTCAAGTAAGTTTTAAAAATAGCCAACGAGGCGGCCTGCCTGATGTAAAGGGGCAGCGCATTCCATAGCTTAGGAGCCACAATGGAAAACGCTCTGTCCCCTCTGAGTTTACGCCTGGCCCACGGTACCTCAAGCAAGAGCTGGTCAGCTGATCTGAGGCACCGAGAGGGACTATAAGGAAATAAAAGCTCAGCAAGATACAATGGAGCAAGACCATTCAAAGACTTAAAAACAAATAAAAGAATCTTAAAATGAATCCTGAAAGACACTGGAAGCCAATGAAGGGATGCCAAAAT